TGGCTCAGCTGGGTAATCCCTGCCTGGAATCACCTGGAATGCCTGCATCCTGTATCAGAGCGCCTGGTTCAAGTCCCAGCTCCTCCACTTCCAATCTGACTTCCTGCTAATGTGCCTGGGAGGCAGCAGCTGATGGGCCCAAGTACTTGGGTCCCTGACATGCTTGTAGGAACATTCAGACTGAGTTCCCAGCTCCTGGCTTCAGCATGGCCTAGGCCCGGCTGTTGCGGGAATTTGGGGACTAAACAAGTAGATGGAAGACCTCTGTTTCTCCTTCTCTCTCTGCCACTCTGCCTTTCAAATAGATGAAAATAAATAAATGAACACTAAAAAAAAAAAAAAGAAAAGAAAAGAAAAAGTTCAGCAACTCTTTCCTGTAAAGGGCCAGACAGTAAGTATTCCAGTTCTCCCAGGTAAATTTTCTCTTATATAATTACTCAACTATGTCACTGTAGCATGGCAACAGCATAGAGTAAGTGGGTGTGGTTGTGCTCCAATAAAATTTTATTTACAAAAAAGAAGGTTGACACTGCTTAATGGAACTGCCACAGCAGTTTTCCTTATCAATCCTACACCTTCCATTGAAATATATTCCAGCTGATGTCAAAACTGTGACAGAAACAACCGTTTTATACTCTTTGTAAGCATGAAAAAAGAAAATGAAGAAATTTGAATACGCAGTGTTAACGTTTCAGGGGTGGGGCCAGTGCTGTACCACAAGTGGCTGAGCTGCCGCCGGCAACACCAGCATCCCATACGGGCGCCAGTTCAAGTCTCAGCTGCTCCACTTGTGACCCAGCTCCCTGCTAATGCGGGTGGGAAAGCAGCAGACGATGGCCCTAGCACTTGGGTCCCTGTACCCACATGCAAAACCCAGAGGGAGTTCTGGGCTCCTGGCCGCATCCCGGCGGTTGCAGTCGTTTAGGGAGAGAACCAGAGGATGGAAGATCTCTCTGTTTCTCCATCTCTCCTTCTCTAACCCTATCTTTCAAATAAATAAATCTTATAAAAGAAAACTTTCAGTGGGACAAAAGTGAAACAAAACACTGCAAGTAAAAAGGAAAAAAGACAAAATGTGAAATAAATATCTGTCATGAATAGCTGAAATGCTAATTTTATTATTTATTAAAAAAAGCATCAAATAATAGGAGGCAAATGAGGAAGTAGAAGGAAAAATACAGATGATTAAAAAAGAAAGATGCTAAATCTTGCCAAAGCTTAATAAAAACTCGTATCTCTTTCAGTTATCAAAGTGGCAAAACTGGTATAGACAGCTCACGGAGGAGCACAGCGCACGGAGGGAGTCGGCGTCCCAGGCGCCACTGGAAGGAAGGTAAAGTGGCCATGCTCTCTTTAGGCACAGACCAGTTGATAAATCCAAAATTAAAATATTTAAAGCTAACTACCACATTTCCAAACACTTACCCTACAGACTCATGTAAGTATACAATGACTTTTGTGCTAAGAGTTAGTTGCAGAATCGCTTTTAATAGGGAAAAACTGGCACCATCCAAAATGTTTACCTGTAGAGGATTAGTTAAGTAAACGAGGACGGACACATTCAATGGAATAGTATGCAGGGAAGGAAATACCGTCAGTTAACGCTATCCTGCTGTGAGAAAATGGTGGGTTCACAGAGTGATGGTGTGACCCTATTTCTGTTAAAGAAAATGTACAACCATAGCTGTATCTGCGTATGTGTTTATATAGTGAAGGCTATACTCCCAGTAAGGTTTTTATCTACAACTGAGAGAGCACTTGTGTTAAGGTGCACACCTCTGTCTTATGTTTTTTCTTTTTTTACAATAAGCCTGTATTAATTTAACAGTAAGCAAAAGGCCCTTAAGAGACAAATAAGGACTTGGCTCCTCATACTCATGGAGACATCTGCACCTCAATGTTTTCTGTTAAAGGCTGATGGAGGAAGGGTAGATATTGACCTAATGATGGCATCAGAGAGGGGGGCCATTGCGGGGGGGGGGGCGTGCCCTGGGGAGGCTCCTCTGGAAGCCAAGCACACCTCCTCCTCTTCCTCCATCACACGCTCTGCTTCCCGGCTCACCACGTGGCCCTCCCTCCACACATACTCCACCACTGCCAGTCCATGGCAATGCCCAGTCCTGAATGGTGCACCTCCAAGCTGGAAGCCAAAATAAACCTTTCCCATCCCAAGAAGCTCCTCTCAGGAACTTCCAGTTAGGACAATAAAAATCCCAATACAACGTCTTTCCAAAGAACCTTCCAGGGCTTTCCACACCTGCTCTTGTTCCACTGGAGAGCCAGACTCTTCAGCATGACCCCCGTCTAACCCTGCCATCCCAGCAATGGCCCCTCCAGGTGACAGCGAAGTCACCCAGGGGCACTCCCAGTCACGCTGTGGTTTTCTGAACATGCTTCTTTGGTTTCTTTTTTTTTTTTTTTTCCTTTTTTTTTTTTTTTTGACAGGCAGAGTGGACAGTGAGAGAGAGAGACAGAGAGAAAGGTCTTCCTTTGCCGTTGGTTCACCCTCCAATAGCCGCCGCGGCCGGCGCACCGCACTGATCTGAAGGCAGGAGCCAGGTGCTTCTCCTGGTCTCCCATGGGGTGCAGGGCCCAAGCACTTGGGCCATCCTCCACTGCATTCCCTGGCCACAGCAGAGAGCTGCCTGGAAGAGGGGCAACCGGGACAGAATCCGGCGCCCCGACCGGGACTAGAACCCGGGGTGCCGGCGCCGTAGGCAGAGGATTAACCTAGTGAGCCGTGGCGCCGGCCTTCTTTGGTTTCTGCAAAGGCTTCTGCTGCTGCTTACTATCCCCCTCCTCATCTTCCCTGCAACCCCTCGTCAGATGCAAACAATCTGAAGGGGAAACACCACACACGGCAAATGGCCCCGTGTGAGGCAGGCTGCTGGGTGCTCACAGTGCATTCTGTAATCTAACTATTAAGTGATTTATTGCCGTTGTTATTTCTACTTTACAGATGTGGAAGTCGTCTCAATGAGGTTAAGGAGTTGCCCAGACTCACTAGCTAGTAAATGTCACAGCCAGCATCTGAACTCAAGCCCGCTTGACTTCAAAGCCATACTGTGGGTTTTGAGACAGGGTACCGGGGCCAAGAGCAGGCTGAATAGAGAAGCCCCCAAAGGATCTGGCTGGCTATCTCCCATGAACGCAGGGGAAAAAGCATGGCGGATGGAAGGCCTGGCCTACAGGACAGGGAAAAAAGCATGTTTCTGGCAAAGGGTGTGACGACCCCACATGACAATGTGTCATGAAAACCAGGCAGAGTGGGAGTGGAGGCAGGAAGCGGTGGACAAACCACGGACGTCTGTGTACAGTGAACTTAGGAAAACTGAAAGCAATGCTTCAGAAAGTCAACGTGGTGGCTCTGGGCAGCAAGAACCGCAGTGGCTGGGGCAGGAGGAAATGAAGACAAGCAGCCATTAGGAGCCGCTGCACAAACCAGTGGCCTCAAGCATTCTGGACCTAAATTAGAAGCATAGCTTCAGAAATAGGGAAGCGAAAGCAAACCTTCTTACAGGCACTGCAGGAGATTCTGCAGGTTAAAAAAAAGTCAGATGCCAGACTAGAGATGAAAAGGAAAATGGAAAGAGTTAAGGCTGAGTCTAGCATCCAGTGACAGGCACAGGACGGGCACAGAGGAGAACCCACGAGCAGAGCAGGCAGCCGAGCGAAGTGACGGTGCACAAAAAGAAAGGTGCTCCTCTTGGGGACAGCCGCCACGTCTGAGGCCCACGGACTGAGGCCTCGTCGTGAAGGTGCCATCCTCCTGACTGCAACGTGTCTGCAGCCACCCTCACCACGCCAACAACACGACGCGCGGACCACTTGAGTAAATGACAAGATGACTTCATCAGAGACGGATCGCTCCTTGCTTAGCTGGCGCACAGCACTGAGGCCTGTTTTCAGAGGCACCATGGAGAACGAGCCCCCGTGTTTCACAGTTACACCAGGAAAAGTCTGACTCAGATTCCTCCGCGCCTGCATCCACGCCCCCATGTGTCAGGCCCAGCCCTCCCGCAAGGATCTTCCTTCATCCGCCATGCAAGCCCGGTCGCTGAGAAACCAGGCCTACCTCCTTCCTCCCTGTGTTTTTGCCTCAATTCTCTTTAAAATCAAAACCACTCTCTCTGATTCTTCTCTACTCTCAAGAGTTTCCCTGTCTCCTCTGTTCCTTTTAATGCAGTAACATGAATTACCACTTTCTGTCCTCAAAGAGTACCTGGCTTAACCTTATCATCCACTCCTTAGATTTGTCTCTATTATCAGCCAAGAAGAAAGGAAGCAGACCAGGATCCGGGTCTTCAATTTGTAGAAGGGCCCAGAACCCACCCACTCCAAGGGGCTAGTCCAGTATAACCCATGGCTAACTCAGCTATGAGCCTGACTCACAGGGTCATTATGACAACTGGATGACATAATTATAAGTGAACACCCAAATGCATGTAATAAAATTAGATCTAGTGTGCTAGAATAGGCAAAGAAAAAAAAAAGGTTCAAGCTTCCTTTCAGAAAAGCACACCAGGGACAATCAAGAGGACCCCCAAGAAGCAAAACACAACAGGAGCTGCAAGCCCTCTGAGGGTGGTGGGGGTATGCTGTGAGCAGAGCAAGCCCAGCAGTGTAACCCTCCCTGTTCCAGAATTCAAGTAGATGGAACTCACTATCTGACTGCGTTTGAAACCAGAGTATGCACAAAACCAGGAAAGACAAGGGAGGTAACAGGATACACATTCTACTTTACTTGTAAATGAGAGCTAGAATACTTTTAGCACAGTCCCTATTGTGACCCCATTTATAATTCTGGGTAAATGGAATTTAGAAGACTTGACTTCGAATCTCAATTAAAATGAAGGAAGGAAAAATACTGAGAGAGGACCTCTGGTTTCAAATTATTCCATTTGGGGCACTCGACAAGATTAGTTTTTTGTTTGTTTGTTTGCTTTTGTTGAGCAGAAACTAAAGTTTTAAATAAGTAACTGTACCAGAAAAAACAGTACCTGTGAGTTTGATCTTGGAGAGTCGGGCCAAAATCCCTGGCAGATCATCCACGTGCACCTTCATCTCCTTCCACTGCTTTTCTTCTTTTGCGTCTTTTCCCACATTCAGTGCCCCTTCGGAGATCGAATCGGGCTCTAGTTCCATCAGTTCCTTGTCCTTTGGCTTTCTGGACAAAGACAGGCTAGGGGGCGAGAGGGGTCTTGTCTCATACATTTCTGCATTGTCTTGGCCTAAAGACGTTTTTTCAAGGAAAGAAGAGGCCTCTGGCTCCGGCTTTGGTTTTACTCGCTGGTTGAGGCTCCTGTTCAGTTGTGTGACATACTAAGCAAACAAACAAACAAACAAAAAGCACATGTTACTATGCGAGTGAGGCCCCAAATGCTTTTCAATGGTTGTTTAGTAACATTTCCAATCTTTTGGGGTACCTGAAAGTTCTTTCCTGGTATTAAATAGAATAAAATTAACGTCTCAGTCATTGTTTTCAAATCTGTGGTGCAGAAAACCATGGGAACACAAGTTACTAGAAAGAAAGGTAAATCTATTCCATATTCATCTCCTCCAGAATCTTCCATGGAGGTTCAACATTCTGGACACATGAAAGTGTTTTCTATCCCCAAAAGCCCAGATGAGAAGGTCCCTTTCCACGTACTTCTGCAAACAGCACCAAGAGGGGCTCAGCTTGGGGACATAATCCAGAGTTAAGTGACCTTGTACACACGTGGTAGAGGAGAGCACAGGAGTGGGAATCAGATGTTTTACTACTAACAAGGCAAGATTAATGACTACCGCCATTTGTGAGCCATTTTATAGTTGATGTGGTATCTACTTCGTTCCATCTTCTCAGCAGCTGGTAGAGAAGATGTCTCATTAAAAGCAGAGCTCTTCCATAACCAGTTACAGGTAGCCCTGGGACACGGAGCCACCTATTCTAACAAGCAAGTAAGTGCCTTTTCCATGGCCTCAATCTTAAAACTACACACTCTAGTCTCAGGTAAGACTTGTGACTCATGAGCGAATTCAGAGAGCTGTTTTCTCTGCCTGCGGCGCTGGCATCCCATGTGGGCATGGGTTCCTGTTCCAGCTGTCACTCCCCCTCTTCGTGGAGGAACGACACAGGACCCTGCGCTGTTCTTTCGTCTGCTCGGCCCTCCCCGGGTTTGCTGCTGGTTCTTCCCGGGTTGGCTACTGTCCCTTCCACCTCCGTGGAAGGGCGGTTCCCCCTGGCCACTTTCCCCACTTCCGCAGGGGAGCAGCACACCGCCGGCCGGCTCTCTGGGGGGCTGCACAGGTGTTCCCCTTAGATGTTCCCCTTAGATGTTCCTGGTGCATGCCGTCTCTCTCCTCCTTTATAGTCCTCCTCCGCCAATCCTAACTCGGCTGCCCACACGCCGAGTACGCTGCTCTCCTCCAATCAGGAGCAAGTCCTACAGCTTGTCAAGTTGGTGAGAGGCAGCTGGGTAGAAGCTGTTTTCTCCTCTCCCAGCGCCATATTGTGGGAGAGCAGATGCATAGAATAAGTCTTAATTCCAGTAACTCAGTCCAGTCCGGATTGCTCCCCACACCAGCTGCTCCCTGCTAATGGCCTGGAATGCCCAAGTGCTTGTGCCCCTGTAGCTGCATGGGAGAGGCAGAAGAACCTCCTGGCTCCTGGCTTTGGATCAGCTCCGGCCACTGTAGCCATCTGGGGAGTGAATCAGTGATGGAAGACCTCTGTGCCTCCCTCTCTGTAATGCTACCTCTCAAATAAACAAATAAATAAAATCTTTAAAGAAAAAAAATTTAAATCTCTTATCAACATAGAGTTTTATTAAGATTCTAAATTAAAATTTTAATGTTAAAGTGGACGTTATAAGTTAAAAAAAAAGACAGAGATGTCAAATAGGGCTTTAGATTATGTATCTGCTATTATTTTATTGCTGGTACTGCAACCATCACTTTCTAGCTATATTTTGCCATTCTAAGCCCCTCTTCCATTTGAGAAAATGGCAAATGCCCTCACTGGTAATTAACAGTAAGTTATCATGTTACCCACAACATCATTAAAATCAACCCAGATAAAGGACTCTCAGATGTATTATCAATGTCCATTATAAAATGTCCAGCAAATTACAAAAACTCTCAATTTATTTGAGTCTATTCTCAAGGACATGTGTTAAAAAGATTTTCAAATGCACTACTGATTTAAGAAAAACAAGACAGCCACACCATTAAAGCAATTATTTCTATATTACTCATATATTCCTAGAACTTCAAAGAATTTTAAAAAGATGTATCATAACGGTTCAGCTTTTCCTAATTTCAGCCAAGTCAAACAAAATATGGCAGAAGTTTTCAATCTTTCTCCAAACTTAATCAATAAGTTCAGGATCATACTTTTAACCTCAAACGCCAGAATCATTCTGGTTTCAGTTAAGAATAATCAAAACAAGAGATTAAAAACTTTTGCTAAACTTAAGAGGACACTAAATAAAAGTCCTTTTTCAACTAGTACTTCTTAAAACTCTTCCTCTAACAGGAATTTCTGAAATTCCCTCATACAGAGAAGGGACCAGGAAACAGGGCAAGGATGGTCTTCTCCACATACCATGCGTTTGAGGAAGGTGAAGTGCTGAAATGTAATCCACTGCTGATGGACATTCCTAAAGAGACGCATAAACTTGCCAGGGGGTGCTTGGAGAGCTCTTCTTTCTAGATACCAAACGCATCCTCCCATGCAACCTATAGGAGAGAGAGAAGAGGAGAGAGGAGCACAATGACTGATGCTTCTCAAGAGTGTGATGGCTGTACCTACCTAGAGGCAAAGCCAGCCACCTACTGCTGCAATGCACGACAGGTCAAAGCCCTGAAATGATCTCATCCAGATTTGCAAATAAATGCAATTTATCAGCCTGCTCACTGTTTAAGTGTAATTCTTCATGAGGACTGAGGAAATTTTTCATTTCAGGGTCACTTTGCTTTTGTTATATTAAGTGCTAAAATGATCACACTGTAGATCTTTCTTCTAAAGAAGGGACTATCAAATGAGCCCAGTTCCTTTGCAAAAAGAAGAAAATGAAAGGCACAGTTTTCCTCAACACATAACAGTACATTGAAATATATGTGTGCTTCAGGTTAATATTTTGGCCATGGAGAGTAAGACAACTAAAAGGAAGAGGAAATAACTCTCAGTGAAGTAGGAGTCCATGAGTCTAGATGGGAATAAGCAATGTTTGTTGTCTGCAACTCTGGCTTTTAATCATTCTACTAAAACTTTGCTCAACTATCAACAAATCCAATGCTTCTGTCTCAGGCCTCACCCTGAAACATTTATTTATTTGAAAAAAAATTTATTTATTTGAAAGGCAGAGGTATGGAGAGAGAGGGAGAAGGAATGGGCGGGGAGAAGACGGAGGGAAAGGGTGAGATAGAGAGATCCTGCATCTGGGACTTGAACCCAATGCTCACATGGGATACCACAGGCAGATGATGAACCCACCGTGCCACAACGCCAGTCCCAGGCCTCATCCAGTTCACACCTCTGACAATGTATGCAACACTGCGGATTCTCCCTTTCTATTAAAAAGCTTCCTCTCCCATGGCTTCCATGGAGAGCAAAGGTTCCTGGTTCTCCACTTTTGGTTTCTGAGTTTCTTACAGCGTATGCCACTTGAAGGCAGTGATGTCCGCACTATTCTGAATGGTAAACATTGTTCCTGAGCTAAAGCAACTGTAGGAAAATTTCTAATCTCCCACCCATGTCCTAGAAATCATTCTTCCTATTTCCAACTGCTCTCTTGGTACCTCCACAAGGATGGGCCCCAACACCTCTTTAACACTTCATTCCACCCCTACTTATATCTGCTCTGTGTCCTGTTGCAGATAAAGCCATCACCTGCTGAGAGTTCAGGAACATCCTGAACTCTTTCTTCAGGCCTGACAGCCACCACGTGCCGTCAACTCTGAAACCTAAGTTAAATCTCTCCATTTCTTCCCATTCCTCCTGATGGACTCAATCTTTTTTATTTTTTTCCACAGATGTATTCATTTATTCAAGTGGCAGAGTTACAGACACAGAGGAGAGACAGAGAGAGAAGTCCTCCATCTGCTGGTTCACTCCCCAAATGGCTGCAACGGCTGGAGCTGGGCCAGTCTGAATCCAGGAGGCAGGAACTTCCTCTGGTCTCCCATACGAGTGCAGGGGCACAAGCATTTGGGTCATCTTCCACTGCTTTCCCATGCCATTAGCAGGGAGCTGGATCAGAAGTGGAGCAGTTGGGACTGGAACTGGTGCCCACTGGGATGCCAGCGTTGCAGGCAGAGGCTTGGCTCATTACGGCACAGCACCAGCCCCTAGACTCTTACTCTTACACTTGGACTCCGGTAATATGAGTCAAGCGGCCACCCAGCCATCGACAACTTCCTTTCCTGTCCAATGCATGCTTCACATAGTGAATGATCACCTTCCTGAAGCCCAGAAACTGCGTTACTTGCCCATATGTGGACGTACAACTCACTGAAGCAATTCTGTCTCCTGATCTTCCACTAAACACACTGCACATTCCCACTCTGATCATCTGTGTTTACGTCATTTCCTTGTCCTTCACACTGCCTGTCAAATTCTCAAATGTTCTTTCAACTACTCCATCACTTTATATTACATTTTACGGCAGTTTCTTAATGCAAACTGCTTCCATTTGTTTCCGCCATCCCATGTTTTAGTTCTTCGGTGGCAGGGCCTCTCCTCTCCTCACCTTTGCTACAACAGCTAGTGGAGTATTTCCATCCAGTTGTGAAATGGTGCTTGATAACCAGGGCGCCCATCGAACTTGCTTGCACTGTGCAAGGAGAACTATCATTGCCCCTTGAAATACATGGCAATTATCCGAGACTGAAGACAAGCCACTCCACTAAACTCATATTCTCAGACCTCACTTAAGTATGACATGCTTATTTTCCATGTGATTGGACATGAGTTTGTCTCCAAACCACCTTGGAGAATATCTCTCAGGATTAAGACAGTCAGACTGAGATCTTACAGAATGGCAGTAAGAAGACAAGCGGCTAGAAAATTGCACTTACAGATGAAAATACTTCATGTGGTCAAAATCAGTCGCATTTCAATGAATCAGTATCTAGAAAAATAATTCAGCCCTATGCAAACAAATTTACACTGGAAGATACACAGAGTTTATAATCAATACATTGAAAATCTGGAGACATGACAATACCCACTGTTCACTAGCAACCCTGATTCATGTTGATAAGGCTTTTAAAATTAAGTGAGCAGGGGCCGGCGCCACGGCTCACTAGGCTAATTCTCCGCCTTGTGGCGCCGGCACACCAGGTTCTAGTCCCAGTCGGGGCACCGGATTCTGTCCCGGTTGCCCCTCTTCCAGGCCAGCTCTCTGCTGTGGCCAGGGAGTGCAGTGGAGGATGGCCCAAGTGCTTGGGCCCTGCACCCCATGGGAGACCAGGAGAAGCACCTGGCTCCTGCCTTCGCGAAGGATCAGCCCAGTGCGCCGGCCGTGGCGGCCATTGGAGGGTGAACAATTGGCAAAGGAAGACCTTTCTGTCTCTCTCTCTCACTGTCCACTCTGCCTCTCAAAAAAAAAAAAAAAAAAAAAAAAATTAAGCGAACAAAGAGCTGAAATGTTCTCAAAAAATTTTCAGCAGCTATAAAATACGCTGAACTTTTCGAAGCCAAATCAGACAAGAATGATACGGTGCCAGTGCAGCTTTCCTGGCACCCCTTCCCATCAGGCAGTCAGAAAGGATCTTCCAAGTGGATCGCAGTGAGTCCTACAGACCACTTACTAGCAGACCTTTGGGCGACTGTGTTCCCAGCTTCAGAAGGTAAGCTATCTATGAATTCCTTCTACCCCACCCTTGCGAAGGCGGAGCCAGCACCATACCACATGCAGCTGCCCTTCTCTTGGAACTGGGACAGTTGGGTCAGTCAAATGGAATTACCCCACAGAAAGCTGAAAACACAGAACAGCCAAGGCAGCAAGACAGCTAGCCTGAGGGATGCAGCTGGAGAAACCACACAGAGGTGATAATTATACACCTCTTAGCGTATTATTCATATTATTCACTTATTAGTGTAGAATTCTTGAGGAGGCCTCAGAGAATGAATGTGTAAGGTGCGGAACAAAGGACGTTCAGTCAGGGATGGTAACAGGTAACTAAGAAGTGATTCAAAATAAAGAAACATGGGCTTCAAAACAGAAAAATAAAAAAACTGGGGGGGCGGGGGATGGGCACTTGACCTAGTAGTTAAGACACCTGCCCCATTTCAGAGTACTTGCGTTCTATACTTGGCTCTTTTTTTTTTTTTTTAATTTTTATTCATTTATTTGAGAGGCAGAGTTAGACAGTGAGAGGGAGAGACAGAGAGAAATTCTTCCTTCTGTTGGTTCACTCCCCAAATGGCCGCAACAGCCAGAGCTGCACCGATCCGAAGCCAGGAGCCAGGAGCTTCCTCCGGGTTTCCCACGTGGGTGCAGGGTCCCAAGGAGTTGGGCCATCTTCTACTGCTTTCCCAGGCCACAGCAGAGAGCTGGATTAGAAGAAGAGCAGCCGGGACTAGAACTGGCGCCCATATGGGATGCGGGCGCTGCAGGCGGAGGATTAATCTACTGTGTCTTGATTCCAACTTTCTGCTAATGCACAGCCTGGGAGGCAGCAGTGATGGTTCAGGTAATTAGGTTCCTGTCACTCATGTGGGAGATCTGGATTAAGCTCCCAGCTCCTGAATTTGGCCTGATCCAGTCTTGGCCATTGTGGACATTTTGAGAGTGAACCAGCAGAGGGGACCTCTCTCTCTCTCTCTCTGCCTCTCAAACAAACAAATAAATAAGAACTTAAAAAATAACTTTTCATTATGGAAAATTATAGTTATATAAAAAAGCAGAAGACTTCAACAAACCCCATACTTATCCCCCAGCTTTCACAATGACCAAACCCTGGCCGGTCCTGTTTGACCTACGCTCCCTCCCACCTTACAAACCAGAAGGGGCCTTTGAGATCATCGTTTAATAACCCCATTTTATAGATGAGTAAACTCAGTTCTAGAAAAGTCAAGTGATTTGCCCTGAGATTACACAGACAATTAAAGATCTACAAAATAACATCATGAAAAACAAGGAAGAAAGAAGTCTCATGGAGTCACAGTGACCAACATTGCCAGATAATGCAGAGTTCATGAGTGGTAGGGTAGGCCTGAAAGTAGTTTCTGGGTATGACCAGAAGAAAGTTCCTGGCTTCTCCTATATGGTCTCCAACGGGGATCATCTGCAACATGTTCCCCACCCAGCCATTAGTTCTCACCCTAAAATACTGAGGGCAAAACAATTCCCAATTTCTTCTTCCACAGTACCACCAGGATAAATTTCCTCCATTCACAAATAATTACAGAGAGACAACAACACACACCAGGCCCAGTCCTAGGCACTGGGGACACAAAGGTGAACCAGAGAGGCAGACATTGTTGCTGCCTCCATAAAGGTTCTGTTCTTGGGACCAGCGCTGTGGCGCAGTGGGTGAAAGCCCCAGGCTGCAGTGCCGGCATCCCATATGGGCACTGGTTCGAGACCCGGCTGCTCCACTTCTGATCCAGCTCTCTGCTATGGCCTGGGAAAGCAGTAGAAGATGGCCCAAGTCCCTGGGCCCCTGCACCCACGTGGGAGACCCAGAAGCGGCTCCTGGCTTCGGATCAACACAGCTCTGGTCGTTGCAGTCCATTGGGAAGTGAACTAGTGGATGGAAGACCTCTCTTTCTCTGTCTGCCTCTGCCTCTCTGTAACTCTGCCTTTCAAATAAATAAAAATCTTTAAGAAAAATGTTTATATTCTCGTTGGGAAAAACACACAATAAACCAGGATATAAACAACAGATTGTACTAATCATGATGAAAGAAAGATAAAGGCTGATATCAGAAGACAGGGAGCCTTACTTTAGATACGGTGATTTGATAAGGAGACACAGAAGGCATTTGAGCTGAGTCCTTGCCAAGTGGTAGGGATGAGCATCTCAGCTCAATATATCATCTGTCACGGGTCTTTCAAGTGGAGGACTAACATCAGGGACCACGCTGATGGCGCAAAGTCTGGGGCAGGGCGTGGGAGGGGGTACGTACTGCTGTCTACAGTTGTCCTTATGTTTATCACTCTACACTGAAGCGAAGACTCCCAGTTACAAGGAAAGCCAGGAGGGAAGGCTGGGAAGCGAGCCTCTCATAAGCTAAGAGATTTGGGGAGCCCTAAGGTCCTGCCCTCTCCTCCAACTCTCACTCTCTGAAAAGCCAGAGAAGCACCTGACCCTGCCCACTCCTTCCCGATGGAGGAGACGGTGCGGACCACTGGGGATACAGTGCAAGGCTGGACCCTCGCTCCACGGCCTCCTCCCTCCAGGCTACCCCAAAAGTCACTTCCCCGCTTCCGCTGACCCGACCTCTCCAAGGGCTCCCAAGGTTGCAGGCAGCCGGAAACCACGGTCTCGCACGTGGCACGAAAGCAAGAATTTTCCCAAGATCGTGCCCGAGGCGGGTCTAGTACCTGTCAGGAGGCGTGAGGACAGAGCATGCGGGGATGCGGCCATAACGGACGAGTTCGGCCGCCCCCCAGGGTCCCGGTGTCTTCTGCCCTCACCGGCTGCTGGGCGCCGCCATCTTCCTTCCCCGCCCCCTCTGCGGGAGGAGGGACGCATCCGGTGCGTCACTTCCGGCGGGCGGCCAGTGGGAGGACCTCGCTCTAGCTGTGGGTGTGCTGGAGCTTCCCGGCCGGGCTGACGGCTCGGGGTCTGAGGTAAACTTTGGGAGAAAGCGTGGTGTGGCTGAGTCCTCCCGGGGAAAAAGGCGCGGCAGAGCTGCGCAGACGCCCCCGGCCGGATCCAGGGCCCCGGTGCTGTTTAGACGCGTGCTGGTGACCGGAGCGCCCGAGGACATCGGCGGTGCCTCCGCTCCCCTCCGGGTCGAGCAGTGCCCGCGGCGCCAGCTTGGCTGTCGAAAGGGAGTCGGGGTGGACTCGAGGGGTCGGGTCCCCGAGCCACACCCGGGGAACGGAGCCTCAGAGCGCCTCTGGGTGCAGAAGGTGCGGGGAGTGGCTCAGCCTTGGGGCTCTGGAGTGAGGTCTGTGTTTGAGCCAATTACGAAGTCGCTCGAACCCGGCTCCCCGCTCGTCTCGTTGTAGAACGGGGATCAGGACAGTGCACGTTTTATGAAGGAATTCACTGTCGCAGGCGCCTACCACGAATGGCAGCGATAAATTAGTTATCATCCGTGGTGGTCACTCCAGCAGAGCTCGGCAGCCCTCCCTTTACGGGGGAACTTCAAAAAGCTCATGGAAAATGGAATTAAATCCTAGTTTGGATGCAAAAATGTTTTGAAATCCATTGGAAACACGTACTATGGAGGGGGAAAAAAAACTCATGAAATTCAAATAGTGTTTGCAGCAGCCAGATAAACTTGTTTTAGTTCTGTTTCTCCACGGACTTTTGAAGTCTCCTAGTATCTCCTTGATCAGCGAAAGTGCATTGAAGAAAAGACTCCGCTTTTGAAAAAGCTGGTTCTACAAGGGTAGTTCCTGTTTTCGGGCTGGGGTGGTGGCCATTTTGGGCCACCTGGGCTAGCATTGCTAGGGACAGGGGCACTGAGAAGACGGCTCCGGGTGGGAGAGGAGCGTACCCTATGCCAGTGGTGGACAGCAGGGTTGTCGTTAGGACGGTCCGTGTGATAGGCTGATGTGGAAGGTTCTGGAAAGCCCTGAGGTGCTGACATTTCTGTGTAGTTGGGGTAGAGAGGGCTCCAAAGATTTCAGAAGAGTTCTCAGTGGAAGGTGCAATAGGATTTTTTCAACATGCAAGGACGGGAAAGGGCACTCCACAAAGAGGATAACAGTCTTCAGGACTGATAGAAGTTTCCAGATTTCAGGACCGGCATGGTGGTGCACTAGGTTAATCTTCTGCCTGCGGTGCCAGCATCCCATATGGACCCCGCGTTCTAGTCCCAGTTGCTCCTCTTCCAGTCCAGCTCTCTGCTGTGGCCCACGAGGGCAATGGAGGATGGCCCAAGTGCTTGGGCGCCTGCACCCAAATGGGAGACCAGGAAAGAAGCTCCTGGCTCCTGGCTTCGGATCCACGTAACTCTGGCCATGGTGGCCATTGGGAAGTGAACCAATGGAAGGAAGACCTTTCTCTCTGTCTCTCTCTCTCTCTGTCTGTAACTACCTGTCAAATAACTAAATAAAAATCTTTGAAAAAATAAGTTTCCAGATTCCTGGTAATTTTCCATTTTTTTTAAAGATTTATTTTTTTGAAAGGCAGAGTTACAGAGAGGCAGAGGCAGAGAGAGAGGGAGAGGGAGGGAGGGAGGGATGGGTCGGTCTTCCATCCGCTGGCTCACTCCCCAATTGTCGAAACAGCCGGAGCTGCACTGATCCGAAGCTAGGAACCAGGAACTTCTTAGGGTCCCCCATGCGGGCGCAGGGGCCCAAGGACTTGGGCCATCTTCCACTGCTTTCCCAGGCCATAGCAGAGGGATTGGAAGTGGAGCAGCCAGGACTCGAACCAGCTCCCATATGGGAGGCTTTACCCACTATGCCACAGCGCCAGCCCCTTTCCACATGCTTTTATAAACAGTTGATGTTTACATCCAGGGCAAAAATTGTCCCGTTTATGAGTGACTCATTAAGGCTCAAAGAGTTTTTAAGTTATTTGGCCAAAGTCAACTAACTGCTGAGTGCCAAAACCAAGGCCAGAACCCCTATACCTGTTACAGAGTTATTTTCACCATGCCATAAGGCCTCATTCAACTAAAGCCTCTTGAAGAGCCTCAGCTTCTGTGATGTATAAAGCACAGTATTTCAGTCTTGGCTGTCCTTAAAACTTAAACTACCAGAGTCCTGAGCCACCTCCAAGTGTGAATCAGAAGAGGTGTGGGGTAGATGGAGACTGAACTGTAATTTTCTTTTAAAGTACCACCAGTGATTTGGGTACACAGAACTGAGAATCCTAGGTTCCAGGTTTCATGCAACAACACAACTGTGTCTAAAAGTTTGATTAATGTGAATATTAGATTTTGTGTACTCAAAAATAGGAATTTCTAAGTTGCTTAGGTTTATGATAGAGAAGTTTAATAGTCAGATACCTTCTTGGCAAACAGATTTTTCTATCATTTAAAAAATTTTACAAAAATGGGGGCAAGGTATGACAAAATACTCCATTGGATAAACAGATTTTTATTTATTTAAGGAAACCAGAGTAAATGATTTATGGAAGAAGAGTCTAAAAGATTAGCGTATTCTGGCTTTACTAGAAAATACATATAATCTGTCTAACATTTGTAATTACCATGCTTCTGAAAAATAATTCCTGAAAGTGCTTTTGGAAAGAATAATGTTCTGTGGCTGCGTTCATTGACTTGGCCACCCATAGCTGCAAGGGAGGCTGAGAAAGCAGGGAACAGGATTGTGGTGACAGCTTAAGCCAGTCACTTCATCATTATGGACCTACACATATTGTTGTCCCAGTTCACATGAATGTTAAACTAAGGGAGAAATGGGAAATACATTTTGAATAAATAAGTAAAAGAATCCATCACAACTTTATTCATCCCATTGTTTCCTGAATATTTTGAACACAACTCATTTTGTGAAATACCATGACTGAGCCCAGGCTTTCTGGTTTGGCACTATTTGGGTTGATCAGACTTACTTTCCTGAGCAAATTTCCATAGAAAATGCCATAGACAAGCTCTGCTATTTAGTCATTATAGATTCATAGGATTTCTAGAGATAGACTACAGGCATCCATACAGCCTGACCTTTGCATTCTTAGTTTTGGAAACTGAAGTCCAGAACTGTTAGGTGGTTTTGCTCTGAGTGATAGAAGTTTGATTCTAGACACCCGAATCAATATTTTCCTTCTCATAGTGTCGTCATTTTTATCCCTCCCTCTGCCTATAGCATCCTCACTAATGACTGGTGTAGACCTTCACAATTACACAGTTACTTTGGCCTTAACATTTTAAACAAAGCAAAGATATTTTGTAGGGCTTTTTCCCCATTACCTGTTGTTTATTTTGTTCAGTATTGCTTATGGAAAGAGACAAAGAATTAAAAGCATTATTTTTGCTAAGAGATAGAAAGAAAATCATTAGGCTTAGCTAAAAACATTGTTTTTATTATCCCATAATTACTGAGAGTTGTCTTAATGTATATTCATGTGATCTTTAACTACAGTTATTTACTTGCTAATGTATTTTAAAACATGACTTCCAAATAATCAGCAGTAAAACTTTGTATCTTGTCTCTTAAAAATAATGTTATAAAACTCTAGAGCCCCGGTGGTGAATGTCTTGCCTGAAGGCCAGATAAGGCCTACAAAATTCATCTGGTCTGGCCCTGCCAAGGCAACTGCAGGTGAGACTCTAAATTCAATAAATTTATAACAGGCTCATTTTTCAGTTGATAATGTTGTATGGTCTGTGAATGATGTTATAAATATCCAAATAGTCCTTGGCAGAAAAAATGTTCTGCACCCCTTCTGTAGAGCCTGGATGTTGACTTCTAATTTTCCCTACTGTTTTGGCACTTGGCTCAAAACGCAGTGGTATTTTAGTCTCACTTTACCTTGTATATTGGCTGCCCACTTTTTTAAGGTTTTATTTATTTGTTTGTTTGAAAGGTAGAGTTGCAGGGTGGTAGGGTAGGTAGAGATATCTTTCATCTGCAGGTTCATTCCCCAAATGGTTGCAAGAGCCAGAGCTGGTCCAGACTAGAGCTAGGAGCTTCATTTGGGTTTTCCACATGGGTAGTAGAGGCTCAAGGACTTGGGCCATATTCTGCTGCTTTCCCAGGCACATTAGCAGGAAGCTGGATAGGAAGTAGAGCAGTCAGGTCTCAAACCCGTGCCCATATGGGATGGCAGTGTCACAGGCAGCAGCTTTACCTGCTACGCCACAATGCTAGCCCTCTACCCATTTTCTTTCAAATAAAATTTCTCCTCAGAGATTCTTTTTACATATATAATACTGAATTAAATCTGCAATTTATACCACATGCTGTGACTTTCGAATAGATGATGTTTCAAAGCCTTGCTGAATTTCCAACAATAGATAAAGTTCCAGCTTTCTCTTAAAAGTTAAGGGGAAAAATCTGGCAAAAATCTATGCAAGATGTAACCAGGTGACACAGAACTATGTAGCTTAAAAAAATCTTAAAACCAAGAGATTGGCAAAGGATCCAAGTAGATTTTTCCCCAAAAAAGATCTATCATAGTCAGGGGGGAGCTTAGCATCATTAGTCATTTGGGAAAGGCAAATAAAAACCACAATGGGATACCACTTCACACCCACTAGAATGGCCGTAATCAAAAAGTCAAATAGTAACAAATGTAAGGATGTGTAGAAATTCCAACCCTTATATATTGCTGATGGGAATGTAAAATCATATAGCCACTTTGGAGCATATTTCAGTTATTTCTCAGTAAGTTAAACATAGAGCTACTGTGTGACCCAGCAGTAAAATCTGTTTTCCAGAGATATAATGGAGAGAAGTAAAAACATATGTCTACAAAAAAATTATACATAGCAGCATTATTCATAATAGCCAAAAAGTGGGCACAAACCAAGTGTCCATCAACTGATTATAAGTAAAATGTGCTATATCCATCCAGGGAAATACTTGGCCATAAAATGGGAATGAAATACTGATACTGCTACAACAGGAATGAAGCATAAGAACATTATACCAAGTGAAAGAAACTAGTTACAGAAGGCCACATTTTGGATGCTTCCATTTGTATAAAATGTTCAGAAAAGTCAAATCCATGGAAATAAAGTAATTTAATGGCTGCCTATGACAGGGATGGAGAAGGAAGGAAAAATGGAGTGAATGCTAATAAAGAATTTGCTTTTGTGGCGGGAGGATGAAAATGTTATAAAATTGATTATGGTGAAGGACGCACAACTGTGAATATAATGAAAACTATTGAATTGTCTGCGATAGGTAAATTATATGGAATGTAAACTTTTCTCTCAATAAACTGCTTATTAAATTACTCAAACAAACCAGAAATAACAATTACCATGTTAGATGGATGACTTGTCATCTACCAATAGCTATTCCTTCCTTACAAAGAGTAGAAGACCTAACTGTTCAGAATAAAGGCATTTCACAGCTTCCCTTGCACCTTAGTGTGACTTTGTAATTGATTCTGGACAGTGGGATGCACACATATGTGACATGTTTGACTTCTAAGTAACTGTAATGGAAGCAGTCCTATCTTTCCATGCTAGCTGGGATGTAGATGAGGTGGCTGGAACTTGAACAACATCTTGGAACAGGAGGCACAAGCCATATGTTGAAGCCAGAAAAATAACAAGATGGGTAGAATATAGATGCCCAGTGTCTGTGGAACTGCCATTTCAGATCTGAAACAGATAAAGAAGAAATAAATTTCAAACTTGCTTAATACAGTGTTACTTTGGATTTCTGTCACTTGCACTTACTTAATCCAAGCTACTTAATTCAAAGCAATATACCATTAAGGTGAATTATACATTGGAGGTAGCTGCTACCAAAGGACATTAACTTGGTCAGAGGGAAGCATAGAGCACTTCAGGACCTTCATGACTTCACCCTACTGAACAGCCATGGGGGTCGGAAGACTGAAATCCCACCAGTTACTTGAGCAGAGGGTTTAATAGAAGGAAGGCTCACATAATAAAAAGTTTTGCTAGGTAACTCAAAGGGTGAAAAATAAATGAGCTATCAATATTGGAAGCCAGGACCACCTCTGTTACTGGAGAAACAATAGGTAGAGGTTAGAGTTAGTACAACTTTGAAACAGAGGAGCTGAAACTCAGACCCGGCACCAGAGTCTCTACACCAGTGGTGCTTTTATTGCTGAGGGGGACAAGTTCAAGGTGGTTCTTTAAGTGTGGGGAAAGCTGTAGACAGGGCTCAGTTGCTCTCAGGAGCCAAGAAGCCTTGGAGCTGCGCTCACTAGAACTGCGGTCAGATAGGAAGGGGAGAGGAAGCACACGTGCCTTCTCTCTGTCCCAGTCTTGCCACCTTACAGCCGCTTCTTGGCAGAGGCAATGTCATTTGCACAACCCCAGATCTGGGCACAGAATGGAACCAGGGTGGATAACTGGTGGGAGTTCTTTGGTTAGATTCTGCACTCTAAGGGTACAGATTAGAGTTTCCAGTCAGCCTCTGGTGAGCTTCAATAGCTTAAATCTGTCCTTTGGGTCTCTTGATAGTTGCTCCAAGGTGATTGATAGCATCAGGATGGTATCCTAATTCAGTATCACTCCAATCAGACCCCACACCGCAGCTATAGCCTGCCAGCTACCCTTTTGCATCATTACTCCCTAGAGCTCAACGGCATTACACAACTTTTGGGGATACTAAAGAGTCAATTCAGGATGTAGGGGAGAAAGAGGGGAGTAGGGTGGCTTGGAAAGGCACTCCAGCAAATTATCTTCACTGCTGTGACTTTCTGCCTTTTTACTAAACAGACCCTGATTTTGATAAGAGAAGCAAAATGTCAACCTCCAGCAGATGAATCATGATCGCTTTAAGTCAAGCAGAGAGTCTGTTTTTTTTTTTTTTAATTAATTTCTTTGAAAGGCATAATTAGAGAAACAGAGAGTTAGTGATCTCCTCAAATGGCCACAATGACCAGGGCCAGGCCAGGCTGAAGCCAGAAACTTTATCTGGTGCAGGGGCCCAAGTACTTGTGCCATCTTCTGCTGCTTTCCCACAGAGCTGGATTGGAAGTGGAGCAGCTGGGACTGGAACTGGTGCCCATAAGTGATGCTGGCACTGCAGATGGCAGCTTAACCCACTGTGCCACAAAGCTGGCCCCAAGCAGAGGGATCTTACTCAACCTTGCCTGATAATACTCCCAGAGTTTCTTACACCTGGAGATGGTCAGATTACCCAGTTGTGGCTAAAGAGATAGTAGAAACCTGCTGGTGATATTTTGGTACAGTTTTGTCTACTGTTGAAAGAGTTGGGCATGAGAAGAGAGGTGCTGCTCTCATGACCTTTTCTCCTCTTACATTCTCAGGAAACAGAGATAAGAATATAACTTCTGGAACCAGGCAGCCATCTTGCAACTGTGAGGTCACAAGCATTTGGACATAAAAACATTCTGAGGAAGGCATAGTGGAAAAAATAGAACCATGTTTCTAAAAGACAGTGTTGAGCCCCTGCACGAAGCCAGGAACATCCATCTGCAGACTTAACTACTACAGGTGTGTTGTGTTGCTTAGGCTACTTTATGGTCCTCTGTTCATTGCATCCTGGATGAGACATTCAGTGAGTGGCAAAGGGGTTTGAGCAACTTGCCATCAAAATTTTATCTGGATGTTGGGGCCAGCATTGTGGCATAGTGGGTAAAGCCGCTGCCTGCGATGCTGGCATCCCATGTGGGCACCAGTTCGTGTTGTGGCTGCTCTACTTTTTTTTTAAGATTTACTTATTTATTTGAGAGGAAGAGTTACAGAAAGAGAGAGGGAGAGACAGAGAGAGAGAGAGGTCTTCCATTCGCTGGTTCACTCCCCAAATGGCTACAACAGCTGGAGCTGGGCCAATCTGAAGCCAGGAGCTTCTTCCAGGTCTCCCATGTAGGTGCAGGGATCCAAGCACTTGGGCCATCTGCCACTGCTTTCCCAGGCCATTAGCTGGGAGCTAGATCAGAAGTGGAGTGGCCAGGACTCAAACTGGTGCCCACATGGGATGCCGGTGCTGCAGGTGGAGGCTTAAGGCTGCTATGCCACAGTGCTCCGTTTCTGATCCAGCTCCCTGCTAATGGCCTGGGAAAAGCAGCAGACGATGGCCCAAATGCTTGGATCCCTGCCACCCACATGGGAAACCTGGATGAAACTCCTGGCTCCTGGCTTCCGTCTGGCCCAGCACTGGGCATCGTGGCCATTTGGGGAGTGAACCAGCAGATGGAAGATTCTTTCTCTCACTGTCTCTGTAACTCTGATTTTTCAAAATAAATGAATGTTTCTTTTAAAAAAAATTACGACAGCAAGTGATACGGAGAAGCAACTGGAATCATGTCAGCTCTCCAAAAGGCATATAATCTTTAACAAAACCAAGTCTGAAAATGGTGGCTGTTTCTAACGTAAGATAAATGTGCAGTGGTTTAAATGACACAAAAATAGAAGAAGCAGGTTTGTACAGGTTAATTTCCTATCTTGTTTCTTGCTAATCCTTTTGGTGATGTTAGGATGCCCAATTTTCTACCAAGAATTCCTTTCTTTGCTTCCTCCTTCTCAGCGTCTTGGAGGCTGATGAAGAATACGGTAGAATGTTCTAAGTATAGACAGAAACAAACCCTATTGAGCACTACGGATTGAGAAAATCCTACTCATTAAAGCATCCTTAAAGACATTTTTTTGTTAGCTATGAGAAACTATTAAAATTAGTTTGTATGTACTCTGTCAAATGACCTTTTGGTATTATAATAATGGAGAATTGAAGACATAAGGAGCCTTGGTAAAGGCCGATTAATAAGAATTCCAGGTAAGTTACTTTCAGAATGATAATCTAAGCTACTAGGACAGCAGGAGCATCACATGTTTTCCAAAGTGAGTTCCTAGTCCTCATCTGTGGACTTTTATCCCTGCATTTGTATCTTTATAGCAAGTCAATAGCAGAAGATAGTATGGATTTTTAAAAATGAACGTCACTGCATAAATGTAACATTCATTCAGCACTCCCTGTGCTAAAAATAACGGTCTATCATGGTGCCTAGTTCACATTTCATGAGAAACCTGATCGATGCTATGCCCATTTTCAGATGAACCCGAGCTCTCAAAAGGTTCAATAACTTTTCCAAGTTCACACAGAAAGTAAGTGCCACGGCTAGAGTTTAAACCTGTCTGCTTCCAAAGCATGTGTTCTTAATCCTCCTACTGGACTGTCTCCCATATTTTATGTATTACGGAGTTCTCATTATCTGGGATTTTTTCGTACTAAGGCTGGAGTTTCACATTTCATCAAACCAGTGAAGTTATTGAAGTTCAGCCTCAAAAAAAAACTACTTGATTTTACATTTTCTGACTTGGGTTCAATTTCCTTTGACCTTGATTTCCATATTTATAGAACAGGGACAGTAATACCAGGTCTACCACTTAAATTACGTTGAACTTTCAGTGTTTAATGAGAGTTCATGTCTGGACACCTTCAAACAGTAACTCATTCCAGAGGCCCATCCAAGACCTACTGAATCAAACGTCTTTGATGGTGGGCCTGGCAATCCCTAGTTTTTAAGTGATTTTATTATTTTATAAAAATCATGCAGGTTGTATGTAAAAATTACAAGAACATAAAAAAAGGAAGGTGTGGGCGGTGGTGGTAGTGGTGACACTGATGATGGTAACAAAAACGACCCATTCTATTTAGTAGACAGAATGTGCCAGAATTTACATACCTTGTCTCCTGCTGTCACGTTTAATCTTCTCAACCATCTGTAAACCTTAAAACACATTATTGCCCACATTTTACAGATAAAGCACTTGAAATCCAAAGCGTTTGCAACATCTGTCTTAGTTTCCTAGTGCTGCTGTGACAAAGTACCACAAACTGGGTGACTTAAAGCAACAATGGATGTGTACTGTCCCCTAGTTATGGAAGCTGGAAGTGTCGACAGGGCCCTACTCCCTCCGAACCCTCTAGGGGAGGATTTTTCCCTACCTCGTCCAGTTTCTAGTGATCCCAGGGTAGTTCCCCTTGGCTTGTGGCTACAAAACTCCAACCTCTGCCTCCATCTTCAGACTCTGTGTCTATCTGCACAAGGAACTCTCCCTGTGTGTGTCTGAATCCAAAGTTCTTTCTTCTGAGACATTAGTCACTGAATCAGCCTCTACCTAATAGCATCACCTTAATTTGACTACATCTACAAAGATCCTATGCCCAGCTAAGATCACATTCCCAGGTACGGGTGATACTCTTCAACCCATAACTGTCCAATAGTACAGTGGCTAGTATAGAAAAACTAGATTTGTGATATGGGGAAACTAGGCAGGGAGGTTAATTAGGAATAATTGAGCTGAATTTTTTTTCATAATTTCTGTGTATCACTGTACTATAACTCCACCCCTTACCTGTCAATCCAATACACTCACTTTCCCATGATGCACCTGTGTCTCATCTGGGACCAGGAAGGAGGAGATGCCTTGATGGTCATGTAGAAGTTAAGCTCCACATGGAGGTGCCATGAAACTCCCAGAAAGCCTCATGCATACTGAACTGAACCTGTTTGTAAATTCCACTAGGGCACCGCTGCCTACCACATAAAAGGGACCCATACATGTGGAAATGCGCCCTGTGCTTTTAGGCTTCTGGACCTTGCTTATGGGTCCTTCTCTGGCCTCCTCCTACTCTCTCTTCTCATAGGCAACTCTGGCCCACTCTTGACAGGTGTCTCCCCTTGTGGGGTTGCCCGCACTCTTGTGTAAATGTAATTTTTTAAAAAATTATTTATTTGAAAGAGTTGCACAGAGGCAGAGACAGAATGAGATATTACATATGCTGGTTCACTCCCCAAATGGCCACAATAGCTGGGGCCGGGTCAGGCCAAAGCTAGGAGCCATGAACTCCATTTAGTCTCCCATGTGGATGTAGGGGCCTCAGCGCTTGGGTCATCTGCTGCTGCTTTCCCAGGGTGGATCCGGCTGGAACAGAAGTGGAGCAGCCAGGACTCAAATCGGTGCTCATATGGGATGCCAGAGTCATAGGCGGTAACTTAACCCACTGCCCCACAGTGCTCACCACTCTCTCTTAAATAAATCCAGTTCTCACTTGTGCACTGCGTCTATGCCTTGGCTTTGAATTCTTATTTCTGTGGGGACAAGAACTTGGAATAATGGTTAAGGTACTTTATGCCCATAGCATCTGCACTTAGAAGATAAAAGGCCTGGTGCCTTGGTCATCAGTCACCATATACTCTCTCAGCTGCATGCTTGTTGGGGGAGAGGTGCATGATGCCTTCAGACAGGAAGAAAGTAATAAGTGAAAAAGAAAAGTATTCAGTAAAAAGTTATTTATAAGAGAACAAAAGTTAGTGCTGGTCTCAGACATTTCCTCTGCAACAGTTAGATGCCAAATGACTCCGCGGGGTTGGGAAGGGAGGAGGGAGTGATGAGCTAAGAATGTCATAACCAGCAATTTGTCTTTCCGTGGGACAGGCAGGCATTCTCAGAAACCCAGGGGCTCAGAAAATATTCCACTTGTTGAAAACTATTTGAAGATGCATTCCAGTGGTTCATAGGGTTTGGGGTTACACAGACCAGAAAAAGATTTCAAAAATAATTTGAAAACCACCAGAGGATTGCCAGCTTTTAACATTGTAAGGGTGTTTAAATCAAATCAAACTACCAGCGAGTGTTGTAATCATTTCATAAAAGACATCATTTTAAGGCCAACAAATATTAAAAGGATATAATCTGGGAGCGATTTAAATGGAATCATTTAGCCTATGGAAACAAAAATCCTTATTTAATATCAGTTTGCTCCAAAGTAGTGAAAAACTTTTTCCACAGATAAGATCTCACCCATGAATGGGTGTTGGAGAGCCAGAAATGGACCAGAGCACCAAGAAGGACATCAACTGCAAATGAGACTCTGGCTCGCACTCTGTGCTTTTTGCAACCGAGGGAAAAAAACATTTGAACGCAACTGCAATAGTTTCCAGTTGCTAATGAGAGTTTTGATGGGAAAATAAATCGTTGCGCTGCCACTCCCTTCCATATGCTCTACGCTGGTAGAGGACCAGGAGTAGAACTTGTTCCCTCAACCCACGTCTCGGTTTCCATTGAGTGTTTTCCAAGTTCTCATGGAGATATCTACAAAAGGACTGCCGCGTAAGACGATGACTTGAAGTTACATATGTAGCTGATTTTCTCTCCCAGATTCTCTGCAGAAAGAACATGCTCCATCTGAAACCCAGAACTGTCTAGCCATATAGTCAGCCCTTCCTGTTCAAGAATCCCACATTCTCAGATTCAACCAACTATAACCACCACCCCCCAAAAATAAGAGTATATATTTTGTTTAGCGACTGTACTGAATGTGTATAGATGATTTCCTTGTCATTATTCTCCCATATGATACAGCATAGCAACTATTTACATAGCATTTACATTTTACGAGGCATTCTAAGTTGTACAGAGATGATTTAAAGCATACGGGAGGATGTGCAGAGGTTACTTGCAAATCCTTTGCCATTTTATAGAAGAGGCTTGAGCATCTGCATACTTTAGTATCCACAGCAGTCCTAGCACCAATCCCCTGTGGGATAATTTTGCATATTAGAACATTGAGAAAAGGACCCATCCACTTGTGACTTGGGGCATATGAAGGATGAGACTCATCTATGGGATAAGAGGGAGCACCCCTCCCACCCCAAGCAAAATTCAACCAGGACATTCCTCCCCATGCTTAAACCAGGAGGAACTAGAGATCCGGAGCCAGAACCCGAGGGTGAGTGCATGAGGCACTGACACTAAGGCTAATGGAAGCCTTTGGTTGCTTGTTTGCACGACGCAGAGGAAACCACAGCCATTGCAAAGCTGACATGCAGCTGAAGGAGTAGGTGGGGGTTGAGACTCCTGCCCTGAGCCTTGTCTAACTGTATGCTAGAAGCACAAAATAGGCAAGGCTGGGAATCTCCTACTTGTAACAGATGCTCATCTCCCCGGCAAGTGGACCCTCAACCCACTATAACCTGATTCTCCGTTTAAGAGCAGGGGCTCTGAAGTCCACCTGCACATAAATCTAAGCCCTGTCCTTTAATGGCTCTAATTTTTGGCTGATTAACTCTTTCTGTGCCTCAATTCAAATAGAGACCATAATAGTACTTGTGTCAGAAGGTGGTATTGGTGAGTTAACAGAAAAGTTATGAGCTAGGAGTGCTATTCCCCCACACCTAGGTTACTTATCTCCCTTACTAGGACCGTAGTACTCGGCTAATGAAGTTGCTATTGTTATTATCATTGCCTGAAGCAAGATATCACAGCCATGTTATAAGCAATGAAATCAAGATTTAGACTAGTTCTTCCAAGGGTATTTATATTAAAATAATTAATGAACCATAAATTAGAATTTTGACTCCACATCTGACTCAAGGCCACACCAACTTGGTGTTTTAAAAACATGCAAGCCGGCACTGCGGCTCACTAGGCTAATCCTCCACCTAGTGGCGCCGACACACCGGGTTCTAGTCCCGGTCAGGGCGCCGGATTCTGTCCCGGTTGCCCCTCTTCCAGGCCAGCTCTCTGCTGTGGCCCGCGAGTGCAGTGGAGGATGGCCCAAGTACTTGGGTCCTGCACCCCATGGGAGACCAGGAGAAGCACCTGGCTCCTGCCTTCGGATCAGCATGGTGCGCCCGTCACAGCGCGCCAGCCATGGCGGCCATTGGAGGGCGAACCAACGGCAAAAGGAAGACCTTTCTCTCTGTCTCTCTCTCTCACTATCCACTCTGCCTGTCAAAAACAAAAACAAAACAAAACAAACAAACAAAAACTCAAAAAACAAAAAACATGCATTTATTATCTTCCAGTCCTGGAGGCCAGTTGTTCTAAAGAGGTTTTACTGAGCTAAAGTCAAGGTGTTGGCAGGGCTGTGTTCCTTCAGGAGGCTGGAGAGAAGTCATTCTGTCTTTTCTGGTGTTTAAGGCACCCATACACATTCCTTGGCATCTAGCCCCTTCAAAGCCAGCAATGGCAGACTAAGTTGTTCTCGTGCCCCGCAACTTGGCATTGCCTCTTCTGCCTTCTCTTCCATTGCTAAGGACTTGGCTGATTCCATTGGGCCTGCCTGGATAATCTCCCTATTTAAAGTCAGGTCCATCCGCTACCTTTTAAGTGCCCTTTGCCTTTTAACCTCATACATTCGCTGATTCCTGGCATTAAAACACTGACATCTTTTTTTTTTTTAATTCATTCATTTATTTGAAAATCAGAGTTACACAGAGAGAGGAGAGGCAGAGAGAGAGAGAGAGAATCTTCCATCCGATGGTTCATTCCCCACTGGCCGAAATGGCTGGAGCTGCACCAATCCGAATCCAGGAGCCAGGAGCTTCCTCTGGGTCTCCCACACGGGTGCAGGGGCCCAAGGACGCCGGCCATCCTCCACTGCTCTCCCAGGCCACAGCGGATCAGAAGTGGAGCAGCTGGGTCTCAAACCAGCGCCCATATGGGATGCCGGCGCTTTAGGCCAGGATGTTAACCCACTGCGCCACAGGCCAGCCCATCACATTGACATCCTTATGGGAACTTTTGTCCTGCCTACTACAAAGTCCATGCTAAAGCCACTAAAGATTATCTGCATTTCCTTATCCTTGAGGTAGGTGTGACACAATAGTTAGGATGCTCCGTAGGTTGCCTGGATCACATCCTGTATTGGAGGACTGGGTTGGATTCCCAGGGCCACTCAGCTTTCCAGGTTCCTGCTAACATGCAACCTGGTGGACAGTATTGATGGGATGCTGGCATCCTATATGAGTAGCAGTTCAAGTCTTGGCTGCCCTGCTTCCAATCCAGCTCCCTGCTGACGCACTTGGGAAAGCAGTGGGAAGTGGCCCAAGTACTTGGGTCCCTGCCATCCATGTGGGGGACCCAGATGGAGTTAGAAAAGTTAGAAGCAAAATAAGGCAGGGCTCTCCATGAATGTATTAAAATGAATTATAAAATTAAAATAATTTGGTAGTACTTGTGCAGGAATAGGTAAACAAGATCATTGGAATAAAATAAAAAGTCGATAGACCAAAGGATATGTAAGTACTTAGTGTGTGCAGTGGAGGCCTGTTAAATCACTGTGGAAAGAATGCTCTTATGAAAAACATTGCAGGGACCAAAAATCATCACTTGGGAGAAAAAATGTGATCTGGATCTTACATAATATTTCAAAATTTACTTGAAGTAGATGAAAATTTTTAAATTAGAGGAAGGTGTTTAGCCTAGTGCTTAAGATTCCTGCATCTCATGTTGGAGTCCTTCATACCTGCATCTCATATTGGAGCACCTGAATTTGAGTACCTGAACAGGCTCTTGACTCCAGCTTCCTGCTAATGTGGACCTGAGGGGCAGTGGTTTTGGTTCAAGTAGTTGGATTCTTACTATGCACATGGGAGTCCTAGATTGATGTCCTGGATCGAAGTTTGGGCCCTGGCCCAGCCCTAACCATTTCAGACATTTGATTAGTGAACTAGGAGATGGAACAGCTTGCTTGCTCACTCTCTGCCTTTGAAATCTAAAAATTTAATAGGAGAAAAATATAGGTTTTGGATGGACAATGTAAGTATGACATATCAACAAATGCATGAAGATAATGGAATATGCACTTTAAACACATTTTTATTAAAAATTTTTCAAGTATTTTTAACCCCCAAATTTAAAACTTTTCTGTGTCCCAAACAACAAATCAAGTTAAAAAGCGATCAAAAATGAAACTGTACCCTATATAAAAAAGGAAGTTACCAGTATTAAAATGGATAATCTTAGAGATAAATAATAAATGTACATTATGAGTGGACATGTTAGGTAGGAAGTCAGATACGAGCTTATGTGTTTGTGACAAAGGCCTAAAGAATTGACATCTAGGTCCAGCATATGCATCTCAAAGTCATCCTGATAACCTTCCAGGTACAGCCCAGTATCTGCACTTCAAATGCTCCCTGCCCCTTCTACCTGATAACCATCCTTCCTCTAAGGCTCCTCTAAGGTGGGGTGATGCCAGCCAGGCTTCCCCTCTGTCTGATAACTTCAGGGGGAAAACTCAGAAAGGAATTTTTTGTATTTACATCCAAAACGTCCTTTGTTCCAGGAGGAAAAGAGGGGAAGGCAAGGCCCATCCCCTTAAAAACCCCCAGCCTCAACTGGACTGCATGCTCAGCCCTCTGCCTCTCTGCTGAGCCGCCCACCTGGCCTGGCCTGGCCTGACCTGGCCAGGTGTATTCTCTCCACTCAACCATGTAACCTCGCTCTCCCCCAGTCTGAGTGACTGGGCACTGTCTCTCAGTTTCTCTCTTATGAATGTCCCTGCCCTAATAAACCTTGCTATTTTGCTTTCCACTTACTCTGTCTCACGCCTGAATTCTTTCTTGCGCAAAGACAAGGACCCTGCCATTCTCTGGTAACAGTTAGTTGTATATTGTTTCAGCAAACATAATGAAACTTCAATATCATTAATATTTATAATAAGTATGAATTCCAATAAAATGACATAGTATTCTACCTATTGATTTAGCAAAGATTAAAAAGGAATGAAAATCACTTGCTGTTAGGGTACAGGATAATGAGGCATATAAATGTGTGTACTCTTGACGGGAGGGAAATTGTATTAAAAGCATCAAAAAATTCATATCTGTGCATTCTATTTCTAAAAGTTTACTGTACAGAAATAATAATATATTTGTAGAAATAATTATCTACAAAAATATCCACTAAAAATTAATTGTAGGGGTACAAATTTGAAACCACACATCTTCAAAAGTAATTCTTGATAGACATCAAGCAATACATCTTGATTGAATAAATTGTTTTATATCTGTATGTGGAAAAATGATCAATATCATTATGATGGGTTGTGCCTTTTGGAGGTGGCTTTTTTTTTTAACTTATTTGACAGGTAGAGTTAGACAGTGAGAAAGAGAGAGAAAGGTCTTCCTTCAGTTGGTTCACCCCCCAAATGGCCGCTACAGCCAGTGTGCACTGCACCAATCCGAAGCCAGGAGCCAGGTGTTTCCTCCTGGTCTCCCACGCGGGTGCAGGCGCCCAATCACTTGGGCCATCCTCCACTGCCCTCCTGGGCCACAGCAGAGAGCTGGACTGGAAGAGGAGCAACCGGGACTAGAACCCAGGGCCATATGGGATGCCAGCGCCGCAGGCGGAGGATTAGCCAAGTGAGCCACAGCACCGGCCCTGGGGGTGGCTAATTTTTAATCCTCAATAAAAGAGATGATTCAGAGGTAATACTGCTGGTTTATTAAAAAACACTAAAATGTGCATAAGCTGTCTTTGCATGAGCAAAGCAAATTACCTATAATATGATCCTATTTTGATTTTGAAGAATTTTTATGTATGCCCTAAAAATTCCAGAAGCATACATTCAGCAGTATGGATGGTTGCCTTTGGCTGGTAGAATTAAGGCAATTTAAAATTTTCTTTTTGATAGTGTTTTCACAAATATTATGTTATAAGCACGTCCTACTTGATTAAAAAATGGAAAGAATGTTGGTGCGGGGGAAGCGATGTGGGATTCCAGGTGTGCCCATTGCCAAGATGTGAAGCGTAGAACAACAAAAGGGAATGACTGTTTTGCCGTCCATAGCTGTCTGGAAACACATATTTCAGAGCTGGCTGCGTACTTTGCGGTGGCTTTGTATTCCAGGGACTGAGTTTTGCAAACAGGCTTAGCCAAGCACAGCGTGTGCCTCTTCAGGTGGTTTTGGGAGCTCCTCAGCTCTGGGTAACACTAGCTCATTTATCTTCGGATGAATGTGTGCGGAGTGCTGAGGTGTTGACAGAAGCTGAGCTGAGAACAATGTTTATTTATATCTGCACACAATCATTCGTGTCTCTCTAAATCTAGGGCTTTCTCCTCATTTGCTCACCGTTTGCAAACATTTACAGTTCTCTCCACTGGTGATCCCTGGTTTGGTTTGGCTGGGCTTGAGCAAATGAAAAGGTACATAAGACAGTGAGCGGGGCTGAATGCCGTGATTCACATGGAAAGGGAACATTCGTCCAGGCTGATTTGTGCTGGGAACACCAAGGTCCCCAGGCTTCTGTGTTAATACCTCCATGGCTAATCCGTATCTGCACTGTTTATGCTAGAAGATGCTTTAAACTGGGAGCACCTGTGTGTGTGTGTGTGTGTGGCCAGTTGGGTCAGGGCAGGACCTTCATAATGTCCCAGCTAGATGGGAGCCATTTTTAACAACTGAATGCCTTCACAGAATATGATGACTCCTGCCAACTTCTGCTTTGATAAGGGAAAAAGTCAAATATATATTGGCCGGCGCCACGGCTCAATAGGCTAATCCTCCGCCTAGCGGCACTGGCACACCAGATTCTAGTCCCGGTCAGGGCGCCGGATTCTTTCCCGGTTTCCCCTCTTCCAGGCCAGCTCTCTGCTGTGGCCCAGGAAGGCAGTGGAGGATGGCCCAAGTGCTTGGGCCCTGCACCCCATGGGAGACCAGGAAAAGCACCTGGCTCCTGGCTTCGGATCAGCGCGGTGCGCCGGCCGCAGCGCACCAGCCGTGGCGGCCATTGGAGGGTGAGCCAACGGCAAAAGGAAGACCTTTCTCTCTGTCTCTCTCTCTCACTATCCACTCTGCCTGTCAAAAAAAAAAAAAAGTCAAATATATAAAAGGGTGAGCATTCAGAATAATTACCCTACACACACAAGGGTCAATGAAACTGGGTATGTCTAATTGCTTCAGCCGTTATCATCTCTGGCCAATCTCATTTTCTTTTTAATCCCAATCACTCTCCCACAGCAGCTGTTGGACACTACGGATGCCAGCAGATGTGGACTTCATGTTCAGAGTCTTAGACCCTGGCATGTAATTGTGAATTGTGGAGTGAGAGAAGAGAGCAAAAGATTAGGGAGTCAGACCTGTCCCAACTCAGGGTGGATAGCTAGTTGATTATCTTCTGTCACTTACACTTGCTGACCTTCATCTGTAAAATGGACTTATATAACGCAACCTACAGTACAAGCAAATTAAACCCACAACACTAAAGTCAAGTGCCATTCTTTGTATCTATCAGTTACTTAATCATTGTGCTTATTTTGTTACTATTTCCGAGCCTCTATCCTGAGTAGAAAATATAAAGGATAGAAAGACAAAGTCCTCCAGAATACTGGAATTTCCAAATAAGCTGTTATGAGTTACTCATTTGCTGAGATCATTAGGGACGAGTGCCATTTGAGAATAAAATCTGCAACTGGTCAATATCTGTGGTGCAAGATGCTGCCTGGCCAGTGTAAAGGGTAAATTCATATCCTTCTGATCCGGAATTCCCCAGCATTGGCCTGTACAGATTTTTATTTAAGTCCGCCTTTAGCCAGCCACTGATTGGCGCTCAAGCTGTAGATGCAAATCAGGTGGTCATTTTGCTCTCGTCAGTCAGAGCCAATTAGCTTTCCAGCCTGAGTTGTCATACATCTACTAAGGAAATAGAAAACAGATGGGAAGCAAGGCTGTTAGGGGCTATAGGCTATAGGGAGCTGCTTCTCAGTGTGGCTGACCGACAGAATGCTAGGAGGTGAGGTGGGAGTTGTGGGCAGACAGGGACTGAGTAGCCATGGGAAAATATGACAGCATGATCCTCCTGGATGGTGTGTAGAGACAGGAAGTAGAGTCATGAGCCTAGGATTGAGGAACGCTAGAATAAATGCCAACAGAGATTCCCCTCTCTGGTTTGGGGTCTGTGTGAACTCAAACTCTGCCAGCTCAAAAATTGGAGCAATGTAACCAATGAGTGTTTGTGGCAAATGTGTATTATGAAAAGCTATGCCTAGATTTCATTTTTTGCACCAAAATTAATTTATCTTTTTAAAAATTTATTTTTACTTATTTGAAAAAGTGGGGGGGGGAGATCTTGCACCTACTTGTTCACTTCCCAGCGAGGAACAGTCACCGCAGAACTCCTGCAAACAGGAGGATAGAGTACTGAAATCATAGGTGCTTAAATCACAAATGATTGTGTCATACCCCCAAACAACCATGTTCAAAACAAGACTTGGCATTGTGAGACTGTCCTTTCATCCTGGGGCTAACATTTCAGAATGTAATTTACAAGCCTTGAGTTCCTTAGCTGTGCTCTTCAAGCCCCGGTAGACGCTGGTCTCCTCCTTCCCCAGTCTCCTTTCTGGAATGAAGAACACAGTTCTTTCATTCTGCAAATCTCTATCGATTCCTTGACCTTTACCGTTTTTCTCTTAAAATATGCTATGCTTGGAAGTTCTCCAAAGCAACTTTTTAAAAAGTCCATATCTTCTGTTAACAAGACAGAAGTCTCTCTGTTGAAGTTATCTGGATCCAGAGAGCAGATTCACGGTCCAGTTTGGCTGTGGATCAACATTTATTTATAGAGGCTCAGTATCTGTTAGGAATTACATTTGGTTGTTAATAACAGAGGATCAAATTATGTACTTTAAACAGGAGAAAATTTAAAGAAATCCTGAGAGTCTGGGGTTATAATGCAGCGGATTAAACCACCTTCTGCAACACTGGCATCCCATATAAGCCTTGGTTTGAATCCCGGCTGCTCCACTTCCACAGTTCTCTGCTAATACGCCTGGACAACAGAAGAAGATGATTCAAGTGCTTGGGTCCCTGCACCCACATGAGAGTCCCAGATGGAGTTCCAGGCTCCTGGCTTTGGCCTGAGCCAGCCCTGACTATTGTGGTCATTTGGGAGTGATCCAGCAGATGGAGGATTTCTCTCTCTGTCTCTCTCTCTCCGTCTTTCTCTCTCTCTCCTCCCTTCTTCCCTCCTCCGCCAATTCTGCCTTTCAAGTACATAAGTAAATTTTTAAAAACAAAGCAAGATCAAACAAAAAAGAAATCCAGAATTTGGTGGCCTTGATACATATCAATGGGGGCTGTGCTGGAATATATATCCCAGAATTCCTTTTTCCACATGTTTCCGGTCAGAACGGGTCCAGTAGTTTCCCTGGGAGAGTCTGGGGGAACAGGTGCAGCCACCATTTTGCAGTTCACATTTTGTGACCACACACGAGCTGGCCTGCCTCACTAGGCTCCTCTTGAGCCATGTGTGTGAGTGTGTGTGTGTGTGTGTGCATGTGTGTCTAGCTCTAGGATGAATGTCCCCTGTTTGAACAGAATAGTCACACCACTCAGATCATGGAGAGTGGGCCCTGGCCCAGACTTCAGTCCATACCTGTGGGCTCCAGACTATGCTTATGGGTTCCATCAGATTCCTTTCCTCTGCCTTATCTCCATCTTCCTGCTCAGCTACCTGGGCCCCCAGCATCAGCTTCCAAGACAGCCTCCTCACATACATTGTTTAACTGGCTCCATGGGTGCTTCCGGTGCAGT